AACGAAGTAAAACGTTACTTCTTAAGGACTTCGTTCCAAGTAAAAGTACTCCAGAAAAAGTTTACTTTGTTACATGCTCACTTCTCAAAAATAGTACTCAAGTACAGTAACGAAGTACATTTACTTCGTTAATTGACACCACTGTATGCATGTATATGTGTATGTGTATGTGTATGTGTATGTGTATGTGTATGTGTATGTGTATGTGTATGTGTATGTGTATGTGTATGTGTATGTGTGTATGTGTATGTGTATGTGTATATATATACGCGATGCATTCGTATTTATATCCTATGAACTTGCTCCCACCAAGGCATGTGGAACAATACGACTATACATCAACGCATCCATAGTGATACATGCGCAGAGTGTAATGGGGCCAGAGTGCTCAAACAACCACAAGGGAAGTGAGCTTTGCATATATATATATATATATATATATATATATATATATATATATATATATATATATATATATATATATATATATATATATATATATATATATCTTAAAGGGTATGGGCAACAAAAAATTTTATTGATTTTATTGCATTTCATCTGAAAGAGCATGAAAAAATAAGCCGATTGGCCGTTTACTGCTCTATTCTATCTCATCTGGTTCCGAAGTTATACGCAAAAATGTGCAAAATATAAATTGCTGATTCAGCACAATGTGTGACGTCATAAGCTGGGTAAGTATGTTTATTGAATAGTATACTAAAGCATAGCTGAGTTATTATTGGCTCAAATCAAATGAAATTTTCCATACAGATAGTACATGATGAGACGCATGGGAAAATACTTCTAATTTCGTTGTCAAGGCAACACAGTCGTTCCCAGGCCCCTTACACTGATTTTGAATAACTAGTTGCATTTCTCTATGTGTATGTCATTTTCGAATTATTATCATGCAAGTAAACTTTCGGCATGCATAGGTATCGTACACATACTTTCGATATTATTTTATTTTTGTCAGTACCTTGAATAAAGCTGTTTTATAAAATTGGCGCAAGGGGCCTGGGAACGACATTGTTACCTTGGCAACAAAATTAGAAGTGTTTTTCCATGCGTCTCATCATGTACAATCAGTATCCAAAATTTCATTTGATTTGGGTCCATAATAACTGAGCTATGCTTCAGTGTAGTATTCAATAAACATACTTACCCAGCTTATGACGTCACACATTGTGCTGAATCAGCAATTTATATTTTGCACATTTTTGCTTATAACTTCGGAACCAGATGAGATAGAATAGAGCAGTAAACGGCCAATCGGCTTATTTTTTCATGCTCTTTCAGATGAAGCAATAAGATAGATGAAGAAATTTTCATTGCCCATACCCTTTAAATATTCAAAGGAAACTTGCCGTATATTTCACGATTTCCCATAGTAAATCAATTTTTCTCATTTCTTCAAACAAAATTGCTTCAAGCTTGTTGTATATGAAACGATTTCCCAAATATATGTCTTTAAAATTGAAATCTTGCTCATCCCATTCCTACAGGCAATCAGCCATATTTTTGAGACCAGTGAGGATGACCACCCACTCACCATCGTTGGTGACCGACGCCCGCGATATTTGATGAACTTTAGACTTCGCTAATGCTTTCGTTTCCCCGGGTGTAAATAGCCGGGGGGGATTAGTAGCCTGGAACGGCGCTTCGCGCCGTGGGCTCGGGGAATATTGATTCCCTTTTTTATTATATTGAAATTTTTAAATAAAAAATTCGAGAATTTGAAGTCATTTTATTGCAAACTCAAAGTTTATCGATAAAGCCATTTAATAGTTAAAGGCAGTTTAGTTTTATAAAGAACACTTTAAAACGTTTTGTGAATTGATTGTGGTTGAATTTTACCTTAAATTGAAGCTTGTATTACGTGTATTAATTACATACCTAACATATATATGTTGGGAAATTGATAATTTTGTAATTAAAAGTGATATTTTTAGGCGATTTTCATTTGTAAGAATATTCTTAAAAAATTATCGTGTTATCATGACAACTACTTTACATACTTCATGTCGGAAAATACAATGGTTTTGTCAGCAAGGCGAGGTTTCTGCATGCATGTATTTTCTAGTATATTCACGATATGGCAAGATACAGGTAACAGTTCCCCTGGCAAGAAGAGTGCTCATGCAATACTGACTTAGTTGAGAAATACATGTATTTATTGATTTGCGTGGTTCAGTTTTAGGCAAACATGCCTTTAGGCGATGTAATCACTCGTCTGATGACGTCATTTTCCCACGACGCTCGACAAAAGGGGAAGCGCCAGGGACGAGGCTGCTTTCACGAGTTAACATTGTTGGATTCATGGCCCAATTTAACAGCTGAACCTCCCGCGTTTTAAAAGCAATTGAGCTGTCATTTCATTTTCAGGCCGCGCACGGTGTGTAAACTCTCATGCGAATGTTTTGAAATAGAATGAGTTCGATGAGATTCTTTCTGAATAAGTTCAGTTATGTGCCAACGCAGCTCGACATAGGTAGGCCGGGTAACGGAATACGGGGTTAGAGTTAGAATGTCCACTGTACCTCTTAGACCGCGAGATCTGATTTGTCGTATACCTCTCAAAACCAGTAGCTCGTAAGCAGTCAGCCGTATACCTTTTTGAGGCAAGGAATATTTTCGTAACAGCACAAAATTTTAATTTTAAAAGCCATATTAAACCTTATTTACCTCACTTGAATATTTATAATATGGCAAGGTGTCCTCAGGGAAAACCCCAATTCTTAGCAATTCTAATGCTGCCAATAGATAATATATTTTATTTTGTTTTTGAGTTTTTGTCTGCAGTTCAATGTCTGCCTTTCTACATTTAATATTATATCATTCGTCTATGCTATATTGTCGTTCAATACCCGCGCAATAGAAGCAACACACGAAGCGAAATTCACAACTGCATTGGTTTCTGCTGTAGACATGTTTAATATGATTTTAAGACCGACATCATTGCCATACGGTTTGTTTGTAGATCTTTGTTTAATATTAACGAGCAAGCCACAACCTAAAACAAGCCACTTGTACGAGTACATACTTTGATCTCTGAGTTCACCCAGTTTATGAGTGCCATAGGACTGCTCAATCTCAAGAGAGCGGCCAAGAGATTTGCCATTGCGAGTGATGCACGTTTTTAAAATAATTCTAAGAGATAGGCATATGACAGGCAAAGATTAAAATCTATTCCGCGACAGCTGCTGTTTTTCAATAGCCAAACTCAATGTTATTGGCCAGCAAGACAATTACAATTGTCTGACCGCATTGTATATGTAAAGTCAGCTCGCTCCAAGAACCACCTGTTTCACGCGAACACAAAATCTTTGAGAGTATTTAACACATAGAGTGCTTCTTGGGGATGATTGCAGCCTTTTGCTATTACTGAAGCGAATCAGATGGGAATAATGCATAAATCTGGTAAGTTTTTGCTACATGTTTTATTTTATTCAGTTCATGAATCGGATTTTTGCGAATATGAATGTATGGATAATATTATATGACAGTCACGCCTTGATTCGACTGAATACAGTGAATTCAAAATTCCGGTTAATGTAGTATTAGTATTAACGCGATGTTTTAAAAACGTGCCATACGATACTATTTTTGATTTACAATATTTCAGTGCATTAGAATATCAGACTTATTAGTTATTGAATTGTCAAATGGATCTTCGCGTTATCTGCGCATAATTTAAATGACTGTACAATAACATGTGTGAGAGGAAAAGTATATACATTATTATCTTACTTTACTTGTGCAGCAGATTTCCACATTGATCCTTCCGCACTAATAAAAATTAAAATACGATTTTTTTATATTATTCGTTATTCTATAGCAAGTTGAATCAACTATGTCTACTGCGTATATTTCTCGTGTTACTTTATCTGTTTTTATCAAAGATATGCGGACCTTTAGAAAGCTTTTGATTTCTGTTCGGTACAAAATCAGAAACTAAATATACATTTGAAATTTTTGAAACTATTGATATGCTCATTTGCGAAAGATAGATGTATTTGCATGTAGCTAAGTTTGAAAACACTGCATATGTCGGCACTTAATGACACAAAACACAGACAGTGCCATAATGGGGTAAACAAACATAAGGTCTTCAGAGGTCATGTATGAATCTCTAGTCTTACAGCCGTGGAATGCTCGTGCTAACTCAATGTATATACATTTACTCTACCCAGTCCTAGTAACGTTACGTCTTAAACAAACGGTATTATCGTTTCGCTGAGCTATCGCTTTCTAACCCATAGCGTCTTCATAATATATTAATTACACGAATCTACTATAATATGCACTGAATCTGCATGAGTTGGCCATATGCTGATAAGAATCGAGTTAATAAATCAAAATATTCTCCCTGATCAAAAATGACATGCATAATTTTTAACGTAACATTTCGAGCGTTCTCCATGACTGCCTATTAAGAAGGATAACAAGTGCTGTAGATTATTGATATAATATCCCGAAACAAATCAAATGCATTTTGCATGCGATGTTTGCATTATGAGAATATTTAAAGTTTTATGAAACTTCGTCCATTATAATTTGCATGATACATACACTGTAGCTCTCGCTTGGCATAAGGAAATTTGATATTATTGAAGTATCACAAAAAAAGTCTTAGGCGTTTTTCAACGTAGTATTTGGATTCATGAAAATATTTAGAACATTTAGCACTTTAGTCTTTATTTTCCCAGTAAATGTTTAATTAATGAATCTATATAAGACTGCCAATGATGTTACGTTTACTGTGACTGACGTGTATTATTCTCTTGTGGTCATGTCTTGCGGGAGCTCCTCATGCACTTCGAATTCGGCATGAACCATCAGAAGATTTTCCAAATCTTCAACATTTTCTTCAACATTTTCTTCAACATTTCAAGTGATGTTTATATAAATTTATAAAATGCATGGCTTTGTCATAATAATTCATTAATGCGAGAAAATGCAATCAGACACAGTACCGAGCATAGTACTACAGTGCGGTGCACTGGAGGCTGGAGCATGCTCGAACAAGTGCACGACATGCTCGAAGACATATTTTTTTAATAAATACCACTATTAACAGGCTCACGCAGCAAAAATAAATCGATGTCTCACTTTTGTGTGGCACTGCAATCACTACAACATGCAGTCATTAGAAAAAATACCATCCTGAATAATTATATGCGAAAATAAGCATGTATTTTATTTTTCCAGTTCAATAATTCCAGTCTGTTTAAAGCATAGATATCTATATACTGTACACTAGATAGTGCATCTAATTATTCTGCAATTCAAAAATTGAAGTCGTGAAGCACAACGACATCTCGAATTTCAAACTGTTTTATTAATCAGTTAATCATGCAGATATCGGTGCAATTATTTAACACTGAAACTTTCCGTATGTACAACCGGCACGTCGTTCCAAGGCTCGCCTACGAGCAACTGTCAAAGATTAAGCTTGATCTTCACTATACAGTACAGTTTACAAGAAAACGCAAGATTTTATGCTTCGGGGAATTTAAAGTAGCTTCTAATCGTATGAAGGAGCATATAACTGTATAAACCTTAGTCTGGTCCTTAGTCAAATTATTACTAGTCATGTCATAAAAAAATGTTCAACTGGCCACAGGGCAACGAGTTAGTTTTTACTGTTTTACCCGCTGTGTTAAATTAATCAACACGTAATTCATATGTTGGGCGAAACCAAATCATTAAAGTCTTAAATAACATAAAATTCCCTTCTATTGTGTTTTACGCTCCCGTGCCCGTGGGTCCAGCATAGTGCTATGCATTCAAACTGCAACAATAGCTTGATTTCTAAAGGTCTCGACGTTTTTATACACCTTGTGGTAGAACTGAAGCAAGCATATAGCAAACATAAGCATAAGATAAACACGGAACGCTTTGATATATGTTGATTGTTGTTATACGCTTTGGGTTGTTTTCAATGACAATGTGTCTATAGATCAACAGCATAAGGGTAAACAATGTAACGGTATACTTCTAGTTCTTTCTTGATACACTCTCAAGGAGAAGCCCCGCCCTTTCATGAATAATCTTGACTTTCGGTTTTTCATGAAATGAAAAACGTTTTAAGGAAAGTTCTCTCAATCCCACCCATGTTGTAAGGTATCACATATCAGTGATCGTTGATAATCAATATAGGCCAAACACTTTCTAATCACCATTTAAAAGTCTCGGACCACAAGGGCTGTTTTGAAGTGATGATAAGATTATAAATAATATTCACACACATCAATCAATGTTTAACAAGGTAATGTAATAAATATATTATGAAGAGCATGCATGGTGTGAAAAACTGATAGCCTACTGACTAATAATAGCATATATTCGCCATTATCATCGCTGCTTGCTTTCAACTTGCAAGATAAGAGACTCAATTACGAAGTCAAACCCATTGTGTAATTCGCCTACGTGTTGCTCTCATTGCTGGATATTGTTTAGTCAAGCGACAAAAACGCCTTTTGATCATAAATGCGTCTAGTGATTAATTAGTTGCTAATTACGAATGCGACAGCTGAAATTACGCCAACATGGCCTGTATGTGTTATAATAAGAGCCTACGCGAACAACGTTTCTGACCGCAAGTAAATCTAAACGTTTTTGATGGCGTGAGTGATTGCGAAAACCGCTGTTGTTGGAAATCACAAATGTCACCCTACATTGAATGCCGTTCTTGCTTTCAAACAAGAACTATACTGACGCCATCACTCACTATCTTGACTTGTGGTTAATTGGCAACCGTGTTGTCAAAGGGATTGTTTGACCCTCAATAAAAGGCTGATTACATAGCGAGTTTTCTGCCCGGGATAAGTTTCTCTCATCACGACTGAAATTTAGTTAACTGAAATTTCACTCGAGGTAGAAAAAACAAAAATTTTTAAATTTTATTTTAAAATGGAGCTATTAATTCACATACAAAAGTGAAGCCACTTTTAAGTGGCTTCGTTTTTGTAATATGTGAATAGCTCTGTTTTGATCTTTTCAGCCTGGGCTGTAATTTCATCCCTGTTTCAGCTGACATTAGATAGCTTAAGATCTACGACGTCGACGTCAGCTAGAACGTCAGGGCTAAGCAGAGAACTGGGACTAGAACGACGACGTCAAATATTTAAGGCGGCAAGCGGAAGTAAATTGGTAATAGTTTTTGAAGTGTGCATGTGTCTCTCAATTTGCTCGTCGTCCACCAAACGTCGACAACCACACAATAAGAGTTTTACCGTCGTAAATACAAGAGCGCAACAAACGTTAATAGTTCGCACGTCTATTTTAAATTCATTTTCAAAAGGATGTAAATATTTATAGTTTAGATGTCTACGTCGTGAATCTTAAGTGGAAGTTTATTTATTTAGAACGACGTCCTAGTCCCAGTCCTCTGCTTAGCCCTGATGTCCTAGCTGACGTCGACGTCGTAGATCTTAAGCTATCTATTATAACTATTACACAGCCCGCTGGTCTGAAGCCGTGTAATCGTGAAACAATTTCAGTTAGATTTTTTCTGTGTTGGTGTTGTGTACTCAGGTGAATATGATGTTTGTGATGTTATTCTAAGTGTATATCCACACCGGGCGAGCTTCAAAAATATGCACGGCCACGGTGGGAATCGAACCTACAACCTTTGGAATACTAGCCCAATGCTCTGCCAACTGAGCTACGCGGCCGGGTCGGTTCGAGTAAGTGATATTTCGGAACAGATTCTAGTTCTTTCGATACCAATGTAATCTAGTAATATGATTTTTTCTGTGCTGGTCAGTGTGTACTCAGGTGAATATGATGTTTGTGATGTTACTCTGTTAACACAGAAAAAATCATATTACTAGATTACATTGGTATCGAAGGAACTAGAATCTGTTCCGAAATATCACTTACACGAACTGACCTGACCGCGTAGCTCAGTTGGCAGAGCATTGGGCTAGTATTCCGAAGGTCGTAGGTTCGATTCCCACCGTGGCCGGGCATATTTTTGAAGCTCGCCCGGTGAGGATATACACTCAGAGTAACATCACAAACATCAATTTCAGTTAGATTAAACGCGTTGAAATTCAGTCAGGGCTGAAAATACTCCATGTAATCAGCCCCTAAAATAGGAGAAGTTAAAACAGTGTTTTGTAAGAGACACAATTACCTGAAATATACAAAAATACTTTGCACGTTTCGAGCAAAGATGCTTCTGGAAGTTCAGTATTAAGATACTGCTAACGTACTACTAACGTCCCAGTAACATACTCTTAACACGCTCCTAATAAACGTGCTGCCACAATACGTGCCGTATTCTGTACGTGTATGCTACTAACTTGCTACGCACCATTCACTTGTTCTACTTAAGTGCTCTACGAACGTGCTAGTTCATTTCATGTTTTCTAGGTAGTTGTATCACAGTATCATCTACAAAAATGTGTTATTAGTATAGTCATCGCTATAGCCTAGCTCCGCTGGTACCCAACCGTTGGAGAGTCAAACTTTTCCGTTCTAGATCTGACCTTTATTCCGCTTCAATTGTACTTTAATCTTTGGCATAGTTCTAAACATTTTATATCGGGTTATTATTCTTTAGTATAAACCTACTAGTAGGCTATCATGTACCGTGCGTTCTGATTGGCTACGCTACTAGCTAGCCTACTAGTAGCAACAAGCAGCGAAGGGCGCGAGAGTCAATGGCCGCCGCTTTTAAGTATTAAAAGCTGTATTCAAAGGAAAAAGGCTTATCAAAATGGCCTAATTTTGGTTCTGGACTGCACACAAATAAAGACTCATGGAAACTGCTGACACATGCATACGGTAAATTTGCTCGAAGTTTTGAACATGAAAGCGACAGACGATTTTTTAAATATATGCACAATGTTTGTTAATATTCCAAGTAGAATCGTCGAAATTTAACAACAGTTTGGAGCTACTGTACTTACCTCTAATTTCTCAACCTTTTTAATGTGTGCTTCATTTAAGTACGAGTTCATGTATTTAGCTTCATTTTAAAGAGTTTTATTTTTCGTTTATTGAAATGTTGAGATTTTGGCTAAGTTTGTTTTTCGCCTTTTTTGAGCCTTTTTAATCGAGTTTTTCGATAAAATTTTAACCTAAACTTTTGTCTATATATATGATGGGAATGGATTGCTTCTTTATTTTACCAGATATTTTAAAGATTTTAATGACATTCGGATTATTTTGCGTCCACTTTTATTATAGGCTATTAAGGTAAACTTTATTTAGTAACAATTCGGGAAGCAATTTTGTGTTTGAAATTTTGGCCGTTTTAAGCCTTGTTTCCTTATTTTAATTATGGCCACTTTGCTGGCATAACACCCCTTACTATTATACTGTTTTACGATATGTTTTTTAACTTTTTTGAAACTCACAAGTTGTATTTTTCAAGTCATTTTTGGGAGTTCGCAACACTGATTAGTTGTCAACAAGGCTGAAGCGAAATGTCGCCAAAGGAAGCCATTTTAAACGCTCATTTGCTTAAAAAGTTAATATTTTACATAAATATCAAGTTAAAAATTGAGTTTTCTTTATGTGGTTTATACTAAAACAATTAGACAACTCAGCCTCGTTGTCTTCGGTTTCGTTGTCTAATTGTTAAATGCATATATATAGAGCTTGCTAGATTTCGACAATCTTCCACAAGACTTATTACATACTGTATATTACATTAGTTATGTGTGCACAGTCGATCCATATTATGAAGTCCATAGTATATACAGACACAATGACGTAAGTCAACGGTCTGTAACAATCTCTTAAACTAATATGGTCACTATATGGATAATAATGCTTTCGAAATTCGCCATTAAGAATAACACCGAAATGCAGATTGAAATTTGAATTATCATTTTCTGATCGAATTAACTTTAGTTTTGCCTCTCTTTTAGAAATCGAAAGCTTTCGTACCGAGACATTAATTGCTCACAACCAATACAGAGCTCAGCACAGTACAACACCTCTGAGTTTATCATTCCAACTATGTGAAGGCGCCCAAGAATGGGCTGAAAATTTGGCTGAAGGTGATAAATTTGAACGAAGTCCTGAGAACGAGTATTATAGCGAGAATATAGCATGTACTTGGGGCTCACAACTCACTGGAACTTTGGTATCTCGCATGTGGTACGAGGAAGGAAAAGATTATGACTACACCAGAGACACTTTAAGTAAATTTACGCAAAATTTTACCCAACTACTTTGGAAAGGATGCCGTGAGATAGGAGTGGGTCGAGCCAGAACTAAACATGGAAAAGAGATTATCGTGGCAAGGTATCACCCTCCTGGAAATACTGAAGATTTTAATGCAAATGTGTTGAAGAAATCTGAAGTCAGTGGAACATCTACACCAGTGATTCATAGCATAGCTCTAAACCGCATTCCAGGTAATTAGCATAAGGAATCGAATTTTTTAAACATTTCGTGTTTATGAAAATGCCAATTACGATATGCTGCCTGTCCTATATAGGCGTAGGTTTTGTATAATCAGCACTTTATTTTCTTTTGCACCTTGTAAATATTTTTTCAATTCCATTTTTGGTCGTTCTGAATTTAAAGTTTCCAGGTGGATTTGCGAATGCTCATATACATGTTAACATGTTACCGTTTGTTTGAACTTGCTAATTTCAGCAAGTCAGTAGAGCTGATCGCAGTTAAACATGCAGAAGGTTATCAAATAACACGCTCAATGTGCGATCTGCTCAAGCTCCTCATTTTTGACAGGTCTACGTCAGTTTCAAGAAGATTGTCTCTTAGCACACAATAAGTATCGTCAAAGACACTCAGCTCCTCCGTTACAGTGGTCGTATAAACTGGCCTACGAGGCGCAGAAATGGGCACAACACTTGCTGGATTCTGGACAATTCACACACAGTGAGAACATGGTATATGGGGAAAACTTGGCTGGCAGGAAAGGATATGATCTGAATGGAAAGAAAGCCACGAAGCTGTGGTATGATGAGTCAAGGTTGTTTAATTTCGAGGATCCGTCCTTTTCACCTGACACTGGAAACTTTTCACAGGTTTGACACAAATCAATAAACTTCGCAATTTGTAGTTTCTTATTTTTACTTCATGAATATCAGGCATTAGAAGCGTAAATTATTAATGATTATATCAAATGCATATCAAGGTCTGAATTGGGGGCAATACTTCAGTTTGCAAACTGAACAATCTTTTAATTGTGTCGAAGAAAACTTCACTCAAAACTTTACGGCAAATGATTGGAATTCCAACCATATAAACCTACACCCAAGTGCATCCAAGTCATTAATTTCGACACCATTCAGCTTCCTTTGTGCGTTATTGCGTATTTTCGCCATTGTTACAACAAGTGGTATAAAAGCACTATCCAGCAGCTTTCGAGCGGTAACACTATGCATGGAGGTGTTTTTCAGGGTTTTAATGAATTACAACCAAATTCGTGGATAAATACACCGATATTAATCATAGATATTAATCACCGATATTAATCATGAATATTGCTATCTTGGAATTACTATTCATTTTTCTGGGAATTTTAAGAAAGCCCTAAAAGTCTTACGTGATAAAGCTCTAAGAGCATACAATAACCTTTTAAAAAAATTTTCTAATTTTGAAAACGTACCAATAAAAATACTTTTAAAACTATTTTCAGCGATGATAATCCCCATTTTGTTATACGGATGTGAAATTTGGGGACCTTATTTGATAGGTAGAGTAACTACCTTTGAGATCTTTAAGAGTAAATTCTTCAAAATTATCAATGAAATTGAAAGAATTCATTTAAAATTCTGCAAACGAATTCTTGGCGTGCACTCAAAAACAACAAATTTGACTATTTATGCCGAATTAGGAAAGGTTCCTTTGATTGTTCAAATTTCTACTCTTGTAGTTAAATACTGGATTCGTATTAGCAGTACATATTTTAATAATACGTTATCTGGTGGAGCTAGAAACGTTTGCATGCGTTTGAATCTAAAACCAATAGTTTTCATACAATTTTTGCTAAAAATGTGTAAATTAGAGATGAAGGACTTCGAAAAATTTTCAAACTCCAGGGATGAGTCAACCAAAACAAGACGAAATTTTTGCCATTATTTAAATGTTACATTAAATAACGAATTTACCTCATTTTGGAAAGACCAGGTTCTTCAAAATGGTGATAGTGGTAAATTGAAAGAATATAAGAAACTTAAAGTAAATGTGGGTATTGAAAAATACCTTTTAGAAATTAAAAATTTTAAGTACCGTCAAGCAGTTACAAGATTACGAGTTTCAGCGCACAGATTACCAGTAGAAATTGGCCGATATAAAAAAATTGCCTACTGTGACAGAAAATGTAAACTTTGTGATCAGGGTGAAGTTGGAAATGAACAACATTACCTAATGTCATGTGGTAACACAGTGTTTACATTTTTGCGACAGAATTTTATTAATTCTGTTTATAAAATTAACCAATCATTTAAATATTTTGATACACAAAGTTTGTTCCATTATATACTAAGTATGAAAGATAGAAATATTCTGAAAGTATCTTCAAAATATTGCTACGATATACTAAGAACTTTTGACATATTGAATGAGTTAGCCTAAATAAATTATTTGTAAGTTTATATACTGTAATGTCTTTTTTATATTTTATTTTTTGTAACTAATGTATATGTAGGTATTCAATGTACCAATATTGGTATTTGTTTGAATAAAGTTTCTCTTTGTAGGGTAATGCTAATACATGAGTGCCTGTATAATCAATTTAATTAACTAAAACGTCAAGAAGACTAATAAATGTTAACTAAAGGTGCGTATACAAACGTTTTAGTTAATCAAATTGATTATACAGGCACTCATGCATGCATTACCCTACTAGAATAATATCGGTGAATTTATTCACGAATTTTGTTTTAATTCAAATACATGAGTGGCAAACGTCATCAGATGTCAACTGATGATACTCGTCATCGCCACAAAGGAAAACCTAAAATCGTCGTGGCAAGTCGCATTGTGAAAAGTGGCTTCAGTCCGATTGAAATTTTACGTCGAAAAAGGGATATTGTTCCCTCGTGTATTTCGATCTTTAAGATTCCGCTCATTATGTTTTAGTTAATTTGGCGAGGTAGTCGTTATTTCGGCGTTGGTAAAGCATTCAGCAGCGATATGTGTATCGTCGTCGCCTATTATTTTCCACCAGGAAATATTGTAGAGGAGTTTAACGAGAATGTGGGGACACTCGAGGATAATATTGATGGTGTTGTTGTTAATGAGACAAAGAAGCCAGCAGGAATCATGGCTGAATATGGCCAATATGGTGAGTGAATTAATATATGATTATTCAAAATTCATTCCTGAAGATTGGGTTTGGATTGGTACCGACCTACACGTACAGACCTAGGTCTTGCGATATCTAAATCGTGACATTAAAAGACTACTTGTATTAGCCACAGACACTTGTCATGTTTGTTTCAGTAAACCAATCACAAAACATGTTCATATTATCTACGTAGGTACGTAGCGGTGAGTTCAGGGAACAAACAGGGATAATCTGGGCAATAAGAGTAAAAATTGGAGTTTGTCTTACAAAGGCAGGAAAATTGCTCAAGATAGATAATAATTTTACCCCGGTTGTGACGTCATGCATATCCAACGATGGATATGCATGTCCCACATGGTCAAATGCATAAGAATTTTGTTTGAAGTATATATAATATCTTTTATAGCAAGAAAGATAAAGAAATTCTGTAACAGGATTTTGAAATTTTTGAAATCTCTTCCAAATTGGGATTAATTTTGATTGCCACTTCCTTTGAGTTGAACTTTAATGGCGATTCCAGGTTTACGCAGGCTTTAGTGAGTTCTAACTCGATTCTTGTTGAGGTGTAGGAGTATAACCGACATCCAATGAGAGCATAACGTCGGTTTCGCTTTTCTTAAATCTAAGATTTGTGATATGAGTATAAACTCTTCTTTTCTGAAAAAACTGATGTGCATTCCACAATCGATTGATGACAATTTACAGTTCTGAAGATTGAGGTCGTCTTTTGATATGATCAACTGAAAACTCTAATACCACTGGTTAAATCATGTCGCCAAATATATTATTCGCTTGAAGCTGTTTCGTAACGATATGAGGGTAGGTTAGAATCCAATTCAGAAATTACTGCATATTTCAATAATTGATGTATTTATTTAGAGCTGGAAAGGTTCCGTACAGAGTTCCTCGTCTTTACCAATTACCTTCGGGCACGTCACGCATCTCCTCCTCTGACTGTGTCTCATTTGTTAATGAACAATGCTCAGAACTGGGCCAATCAATTACTGAGATCAGGAAAGATCACCTACAGTACTGATGAAAACACTGGTGAGAGTATTGCTTATGCTGAGAGAGAAGACTTGACTGCATTCAAGGTAAGAAAGGAAATATATTCTGACTCGTGTTTGAAATGTTTTATAAGTACTAAATAACATTTGCATAACATCCATCATGCAGCTTTATTTATTCCGCGATGTTAAATAAAGGGCAAGGAAGGCCGCCTAAACTAGCCAGTGCCTATCAGTGCCTACCGACAAACGTTTACATCTAAAACAACATGTGCAGAGCAAATTCCTTGAAGACCACGGCTGGCAAACAAGAAAAAAGCCACTTTCCAATCACTTAAACGTGGCTTGGTAGCACGTACGTCTGTTTTTATAGTTAAGATGAGTTCAGGCGAGTACAGTAGCTGATCGAGATGGTTATAGAGTTTGTTGTATGCCACGCATCATCGCAGTTCTCCAAAGGAATGTGAATTGGGTTTAGTTGATACGAGAATGAAAATGCGTTCTGCGACTTATCTCTATCACACCATTTAAGCCAACGAGAACTCTATTTTTGAAGGGCCACCGATTCAATTTAAAGAATATTCCACCATCACTAATGATTGTAGCCGAACCTTTTGCGGGACATCTACTAAAATAATTTTTTTAACGTCGTCCTTGCCCTTTGAAGGTCACATGATTGTTTTGTGACATAAATTAAACAGAAGTTTTTGTGTTATGTTTTCGTCCCAGTTGATGTTAGTTTATGCATGGTTACGCTCAGCTGGTTGAGCTCATTGTGTTTTCTCATTGCGAAGTAATCATCCAACAGGAGATAGCAGAGATGAAACGTTCAACGATGGTGAATAATATTTACTTATTAATGAAGTTAAGACAACGGGTTTTTGAACGGCGGGGACGCGAGGTACAGTTCAGTATCAAACGAAAATCTTCCAGGTTGTGAATTTGACGTTTTGCAGTCATCCAGGTCATATCATGTCGTGACACACAATGCACTCATGTAGCTTTATGCTTTTAGCACGAAACAAGTGACTACGGTAATTGTGGCAATGCTATAATATTATTCCCAATATTGTAGGTCAGTCATCGGTGGTACGGAGAGATACAAAGTCACGATTTTTCCAGTACAAATGTCAACCCTGAGACGTTGAATTTCACACAGCTAGTATGGCACCACAGCCGAGAGCTTGGCGTGGGGAAAGCGGTAGGCAAAGATGGCTTTTCTGTCGTTGTTGCACAGTACAGTCCTCCTGGTAACAAAGAAGGATTGGTTAAAATAAATGTCGGCAAATTGTGCAGCCCAGGTAAGTGGGTATGAAAACGTGAAACGGTACTAACACAGGTACATTGCACGTTATGTCAGTAAATGCGTCACACATCAAACTAGCATTACAAATATATCACTTTGCCTATAATACACCTGGAAAATTATTCCTTGGCCAAATGTAGTGCAATTTCCATTACCATACAGTACATTATATTCAGTTGCGAAACAGGGATCAGTGACAAACATATAGTTCATGCCAAGTGTTAAAATGCCCGGAGAATTACCATTTTACACTTTACTCATATACTTCAAAAGTACAGAACTCAAAAGCATGCTGCTTCACGCTTTACAGGTGCCAAATACAAAATTTAAACATACCTGCGACCTAAGTTAGTCATTCCCACAAGCGCGCAAGTGAAACACACGAATTTAAGTTTAAATTCTGTCACTTTGAAATATTTAATAAGTTGTTGGGTGACACCAATAACTGAAGTCGATTATTTACTTCCAAAGCGACTATCAGTTTCACTCTGCCCAAGTGCCTACATGACCGGAAGGCAGAAACTGTTTGGGGAAAGAGTAAATATCAGGCAGGGTATATACTAGGACATAAATTTCGATTTTTGTAACATAAACTAACCGTAGGCATAACCCTTGTGATAGAAGGTCATAAAACGATGAAGTTAGTTGGGAAAATTTTATGGATGCACACCGTCAGCTCCCTGAAGGTTATTCCATTACAAGCTCCGTGAAGAATTATATTGGTGTGTGTTGGTAATGAATGATAAGTTAACTATACAATCTTTGCCAAAAACTATGGAACAGGTGCTGTAATTTCACACAATTTGAAAGGCCTGGGCCCCCGTTCCCCCAGTTCAATGTTGGACTGACAAAAATGTGATGTCTGGTTGCGAGACGCCAAAATTGAAACGGGGGGGGGGGGGGGGGGGGGAGGGAGGGTGGAAAAAATCTATCAGGAAATGGTATATTACAACCCAATGCATGTGAAAACTAGATTGTCCCAATCTATATTGTCAAAGATTGTATATTTTGTGGCCTACCCTACTTGTACCATAATTGCTACTTCTTTTTTAGGTCAAAGCAACTGGAGCATTGATCAAATATATTGACAAGAAAAGAATTGGTGTTGAACTTGAAGATATAGAAACGAGAGTTCCTATTCTCGCTTTAAAGACGTATTCACTGTAAGTAGAACAATATGATACTTCGTCAAAATTATAATTATCTATAATGACTTAATTCTATCGAGTAGAAAACAACTGAAAAACATATATATCTAAATAAAGATATTGAGAAACCTGATAAAGACATGTGTGATCCAAGACATTACGTACAGTGCGTTCCTCGGTTCCTGCAAGAAAAGTCCTTGCGTACCTGCCTCGTACCCAGGCGCTTTAAATAATTACAGTACATGAAGTATTTAGTTCGTCCTATGCGCATCACTGTTTTTTTACAAAGAGACGCCTGGGTACGAGGCAGCTTGCGTATAGTATAAGTCTTTGCCTGCATTAGACTTGTTTCAAGTTTCTACTTCGTGGCATTTGAAGTGAACTACCTTAAAAATACAAGTAAAACTTCGACATTTCCAGCGAAGGAAGTTTTATTTGTCAGGTTGTTGAATCCGCATCTTTCTGGTGTTATTGTCACTACCTACGCTGACACAGACCGATTTGAAGTAAAACAGCACGCGAGTTTCTGCTCAGCTTGGCGTATGATAAAGAAGGCGCATTCTGGCACACTAATAGGTTAACAATGAAATATTTTACTATTTAAAAAAAAAACAGGGAAGATGCAATGATCATTGACGAGAACACGTACAGGTATATACCAATTATTGAATTTGCCAGTGTGTACTTTTCTAAACTATTGTATTCATTAACTGACTATTGAATCTGAATTCTACGCAAATTGTTTGTTTTAATGCTGGTGCAGAGAAAGTCACATTTTAGAGGAAAATTAGCATATTTAGTTGGGCCTGCTGCTAAAACAATTTTCCTGAGTATTCTATAAGTGATTTGGCTGCATATACATAGTTATAATACACTATATTAAACTCCCAAACTAAACAACATGATAAGTATCTTCTTTATTCCACATTGCGTGGCAGTGCGTTGCAGATATTTCAAAAGGAGTCGCATCCATCAGCTTATAAAGGTGGTTCTGGTGCTAAAGAAGGTCTTTCACTTTTTGGTAAGTTCGTGATATTTTTCTATGTCCTTCATTTCGTTCATCGTTTTTATTCCACTGGTTTGTGCCTGTCAAATGCTTGTTGTGCTGGCTTGAAGCACTTTCCACTTCTTATACACTGAAGGAGAAGAACTAAAAATTGGATGGGTATTCATGTATGGAATTCATGGAGTTCAGTATCAGCATGCATTGAACATGTGTCAGATGTGTCAATTGTTTGAAGAAATTGCATCAGGGTTGATCTTTCACAAACTTGTTTCACCTAGTAAGCAGTTGAAAGAAATGGCCTGGTGGCGTGTCTGACTCCTTTCCATATTGTACAGACTTGTGCACACTACGCTCTTGTTTAGATTATTTATATTAAACAATGGTCACTTTGAAACCGGTAAACATATTGAAAAGTGTTATACTTTTCGACTAGATTTTAGTCATCATCAGGAATGAATTCAACGAATATATATGATATGATTGATTCCTGATGATGATGCCTAAAATCTAGTCGAAACGTAGAGTAGCTAAACACTTTACTAAATGTATATACCGTTTTCAGAGTGACTATTGTTTTGTATACTGATTTATTCTGAAGATGCTTGGTCGTTCCCGCAATTTAGAGTATTTTGTAGATTGCTCTGTGCCCGCGTAATGTAAGTACAGTGATTGCAATAACAGCAGTTATTATTAGCATGACAAAATTACTGGATGCTGATTGGTTGAGAGGAGTACAATTATTTCATTAATTGTACTGCAGTACAATTAATGATTTTTCCAAAACAAACAAAATGGCGGAAAGGTATTTTAAACACAAGCGTGAAATGAAATTGCCGTGGAGGAACTAGATGAAAATACGAACACAAGCACCAAATTTTGCTTGAACAAAAGAATTAAATGAAAATACAAACAAAAGCATCAAATTTTTGTTGAAAGTCTGGCAGGACTGGGCTTTGGCGAGAGAATATGATGTTGACATTGAGAAGTATGTATCCAATTTTGTCATGCTAATAATAAACAAGTTATCATACGATGTTGCTCGTACAATTAGGGATTAATAGTACTCGTGATGTTTGGAAATTTGCCAAATTGGACTCGCCCCGGCGGCTCGTCCAATTTTGGCAAAATTTCCAAACATCACTCGTACTATTAATCCCTAATTGTACTCGCCATCGCATGATTACCTGTACAAAGCTGCGGATTGGTAGATTGTACTCGCGCCATCACATGATTACCTATACAAAACTGCGGATTGGTAGGATGCAACTACTTGCAAAATTTTGACGTTTCAAGCGAATTAGGCCCTTCGTGGGGAAGTTAGTAGAGAAGTACTTCCGAAACGTCGAGGTTTTACGTGTATTTTTCAGACAACAGACACGGAGTTGAATTATAATTAATTTATACTTTCTGTAATTGCTTATTTTTATATAGGCATGATGAATATGACCAAATCAGTTATTGGTAGTCGTCTATTAAGGTATACGATCATTACTTCATTTAAGGCTGTTTTTCAGGCGGTTTTCATATACAGTATATATGTGCGTATATGCACGGAAAAGTTTAAAGATGCTGTAATGTAACCAAACATTAAAAAGTTTTATTAAAAAAAATAGGTCATCAAGTTTAGATTAGTGTCAGATAAAGATTAGATTAGGGTTAGATTAAGATTAGGTTAGGGTTCAACATGTGTTGCGAATTTATCATTTTGATTATAACAATCTTTCCCTGCTGGCAGAGGTTTCTACTTGTGCTGGGAAGCGAAGGAGAAGAGACCTCTGCCTAGATCTGACACGTTTTCTGTCGCGCATGTGCAAAAATTGCCATGACAACGAGTGATGTTCACCACATGATATCAAACCGGTTTTTGCGGGAGCAACTTGGTAACTTACCGTAGTTTGAAGGCAAACAAATGTATCTCGGCCCGATAAAACAGAAAAGATTGCTTTCTTTTGTTCTTCTGTCACTGCTTTCACAGTTTCATCTTTGAAAATATCAATTACATAACTTAGAGCACTTTCAAACAACATGAAAAACCTCGAAATGACCACGCTGTGCAAGCCGCCATTTTGACACTACGGGCTCAATGTCATTACAGCGTAATTCAGCTCTGAGCATGCGTACTATTTGTTTCTCTAAACCAGTTTCAGAACTTGTTTTACAAACTGGTTTGACTCGTCCACGATCATGGACTGAGGAAGTGTCAGATCTAGGCAGAGGTCTCTTCTCCTTCGCTTTCCTGCACAAATAGAGACCTCTGCCAGCAGGGAATACAATCTACTCATATAGTAAATTCAAAGGTGGAGCTCATGCTGAAATGAATACAGACTAGAGATTTAATTCAAGAAAGTTCGGAAGGTGCGAAATATTAATAACATTCCAATGGTCGGGTGCCGACCATTGGAATGTAGGCCTGCACAGAACGGACTTTACAGCATCTTTAAATCTAAATTTTATATAACTACTAAGTGACCCCATCAAACACACATTCAATGATACAGTGCTAGTGCTACAGACTAGTGCTGTCTTTTTATTTATTTAGTTATTTCATTAGCAAAATTTAACCGCATTAAAAATTTCCTGTGTGTATACTTGCATGTATATAAAATGTCTAACTGCATGGAAAGCAGCCATTGCGCAATGCAATCTTGTCTTTGGCGGCTCTCATTGACCGATTCATATTTTATATGTATTACCATGCAGGCTATTAAACAATTTTGTAGCAGAGACTGTTAAGGAAAAGAATTTAAGATTTAAAACAATCATATCAAGATTTTGTTAGCATCTCACTCGATTCAATAATTGCTGAAGACTTGAAGGGTGTTGTAGATGGAAATTATTGAGTGGGAATTTATATATATTTATTAGTCCTAACCAGGAACAGAAGCGAAAAATGCAACTTTAGGTCCCTGACAGGAATCGAACCTGCGGCCCTGTGATTCTGGTGCAGCGCTCTAATTATAGCCTTTTGGAATGTGCAAAAAACACCAAAACGAGCTAGTCACGGGTAGGGGTGCACCGGATTTGGAATTTTCATATCCGGCCGGAACCGGGTTTACCGGATTTGGACAAAAATTCCGGCCGGAATTCCGGCCGGATTTGCCGGATTTGAGATAAATCGGTAATGGGGACAATTTGGGATAACTTGTGATAATTCAGTATTCAAAATGGCGGTTTATGTTTTTTACTATTTTTAGTTAGTGTCAGTTTAGATTTTTGATTGTGTTTAAACCTTTTTTAAATATCTTTTTGTTAATAACTTAATATTTTATAATAATATAAGTGTTTTTTAAACTTTAAAGTTGCCAATTTGATGGTTTACCCCATTCTTGGTGAATTTTTTGAGGTGAAAACAGAAATTTAAATCTGGCCGGATTTTGTCCAAATCCGGCCGGAAGCCGGATGCCGGAAAATTCGTTAAATCCGGCCGGAATTCCGGCCGGATTTGAAATCCGGTGCACCCCTAGTCACGGGTATTTTTAAAGATGCTGTAAAGTCTTGAAATTTGCTATGTTGGTGTAATGTACTCAGGTGAATAAGATGTTTGTGTGATGTTACTCTGAGTGTATATCCACACCGGGCAGTTCCGAAATATCGCATACACGAACCGACCTGACCGCGTAGCTCAGTTGGCAGAGCATTGGGCTAGTATTCCAAAGGTCGTAGGTTCGAATCCCATCGTGGCCAGGCATATTTTTCAAGCCTGCCCGGTGTGGATATACACTCAGAGTAATATCACACAAACAGCTGTAAAGTCTGTTTTGCGCATCAGTTCTGCTCATAACAAAGGGGGACCCACATATATAAACATTGCCCAAATTTTGGATCTTTCGAATCTTTTTGAATTGAAACGTAGCTAGAGTTTATATTCAGTTACAAGCATAGGCATAGCGAACCAGAAAAGTGTTAGATATTCAGTTCGAATATCATATTTTACAAATATAGCAGTTCAAAATGTGAACAAAGCGTTTGTTTACATTACGGACTTTACAGCCTCTTTAAGATTTAATTTCTCAAAGAAAATACATGGCATTATATTTATATATTTTGTAAAACTGCTAGTCTTGAAGTACTCTGAAGTACTCTGAAGTACTCTGAAGGACTTAAGTTTTTTATATTATTTCATATCTGTTAAAATGCGTGACAACCTTGACTTGTTGATGGTATCAGGACGACACTTACAAAACCTTTCTTCGAACATTTTTGCAGAAAAATGTAGGAAGATACAGGAAATCCTTGTCCTTTCTGAACTTGCATGGTATATACTCTTTCTAGGATTTGGGAACTTCGGTAATTTTCCAATCTCGTTAATATAATTTAGGTGCCATACTGAAGGAACATGTTAGAAGTTTGAACGTGATGCACCTGTTTTTAAGTATGGGCGCTTAATATTTTAACAAAATTTGTTCAACAATGTCATCAATCTCTTCGACAGGTTTTCCAAATGTTAGTGAAGGTTTACCGTTAGTTCTACTATGTGTATAGTTTTTGAATTTAATTGTGCAACGTTTCCCCCATCATGCAGAAATCCTCGAAGACAATAATATTCTTTATTCTGCAATAAATTAATATTTAATTTTGTGACACTGTAAACTGAAATTTTACTCTTCAGTGAATTATTCAGCCGTGTTCATTGCTCAAAGTATTTGTAGGAAATTTACTCTCTAAAACTATATAATCTGATTACTCTCTAAAGTGTATAATCTGAACATGCAACATTACATTTTTAGCGTTAGTGTAGTCGATGACCGAAAGCGAGCCATCTGTATTTATACAATATTTTCGTCTTAAGTAGTTAATGATTGACTGTTGTACAAATCTGCATACAAAATTTCCTCTCGGACGCGTTTATCACTTTCGTCGTTCTCAAGAGACATCCAGTGGCATATTTAAAACTTTCAAACATTCTCGACTTTATATTCCTGGAAAAGACAACCATGGGAAATAACTCCATCATGGGAAATAACGCAACCATGGGAAATAACTCAACTCATTTCCCCACAGTACCTAGCGAGATTCTTCTCCCATCAGTTATATTCAAATTCGTCGCAATGATCATTGGAGCTATGGGAAATACCACCGTTATAATTTACACAATTTTCTTGAACAAAGAAAAGACAGTGACATCGTACTTGGTAGGAAACTTGGCACTGGCAGATCTTCTCGTGTGTTTAACATTTTATCCAATATGGATCATTGAGCTTATACAGACTATATTAAATATTGATAGTGATCAGGATCTGTTTTGTAAATTAAGTCGTTCCAGCATTTGGGCATTGCTGTTCGTTTCAGTGGCTACACTTCTCACAATTACTGTTGATCGTTATTTATATATTGTAAAACCTCTCAAGTATCCGTTGATTGTGACACGTCGACGAGTTTTTGTAGCTACTTCGGGAATTTGGTTAACTGCCTGTTGTTTCTTCATTGTGTTACAAGATCATTGGAAGAGATTCGACTCTATTTTAAGAAGCTTTTGCTCCACATCTGACATTTTCTTCTTGCCCATGAATATTTTTGTTGTGTATGTCCCACTTATTTTAATCTTTGCTGTCAATTTCCGAATTTTAAATGTTGCACGGAAGCAACGACAGCGAATCTGGGCTGAAACGACCGTTAAAACTTCCAATGTGGAACGGTCGTCGAAAAGACTGATGGGTTTACTCCGTCTTCTCGTCGGTTTGAAAGCAGCAAAGACATTTTCTATTGTTGTCGCGGTGTTAGCTTTCTGTATTCTTTCGCCAACCGCAGTTGGGCTTGCGCTAAGGTATTCTTGTAGTAATTCATGCCGTCAGATCTGGTGGGTTGTTTTTCAATATGAATTTTATGGAATAAACTCGATAGTGAATGCTTTCATTTATGGAATGAGACATCTTAAATACAGAAAAGCTTATAGAAATATTCTATTTAAAATATTTCGCTGTTGTAAATTGCCAAACTGAGGATTTTCCATTCTCACTAACAGCAAGGCCATTACTTAACAGTTTGTGAGGGCCGACATTAGTGGACGTTGCACTCAGTAAGTGCTTCGAAATCCCTTTTTTCAAGAGAGCAACTGGCCAGCAGACAATCTATTACCACGTCATTTTATGGAACATCCAGAGTTCATGAAATCTAGCTCCTCCATTAAAATTTTAAAATAAGTTAAATACCGAGACCGCCGTTGATCAAGTCTGTTGACAACTTGCAAAAGACTTGATATTATCAAGCCGGAGCAAGCGATGCGAACGCATCCTGATATCGGCTTGATGATCGTAAGTTGCATGATTGCATCAAGTCTGCAGCAGACCTGCTGCAACGTGCGCGTTTCTGGCTGTGTATATAATTATTAGAGAAACTTTGTCGTATTTATTTCAATAATCATGAGAATCAATGGACAAATGTGGCTAAAGTCGTTTACACTGTTTCCCAATTCAGAACGCTTTTCGATATTTAACGCTAACCTCGGTTAAAATTGAACCTGCTGTTAAGAAGAAAAGACAGAGTTCATATAGTTTCACCGCCCGACCAATTTTTGAAATGAACTTAAAAAATAAAGAAATTCAAAAGAAATTCGTCGGGCAGAACAACACACGAATATATGAATAACTTCCAATTAACGCTCTAGTTACGCCTCTGCCTGCCGTGTTTTAGTTTAATAAGTAGTTCTGCACGTGTGTTTATTTCAAAAACTCCTACTGATTCAGATAAGATCTCAAAGAAAAAGTTCCAAATTTGAAAATTCCAATGAATTCTACGTTAACCTAGGGTTAACCCACCTTTGAACAACTGCCCCCAGACGCATAGAGTAGAACAAAGGTAAGATTAGAATTATGTATAAGAGGATAATTCTAAAGCTTAGTTACTTTGTTCTATTCTATGCCTCGGTGAACTAGGACAATAGTAACTATTGTAGGCATGTGAGTTATCTCATAGCCTATCGAAGGGAAGATGGCTGTGAAACTCATTAGAATAACAATATAACTCATTATCTATGTTGGTCAACGTTTATTCATAAATCTGGTCGTTTCACCGTCACGTGTGTATTGTATTTTTACCAAATCCACCAATAGCAATTTCCAGTTTCCTTATTGTTCGAGTCACGGATAGGTGACTTTCCTAAAACATTGCTATTGGTTAGTTGGGCAAAAATACAATACGCACGTAACGGTGAAGGACCAGATTTATGAATAAACGTTGACCAACATAGATAATGAGTTATATTGTTATTCTAATGCACAGCCATCTTCCCTTCGACGGCTATGGTTATCTAAAGCATAGAATAAAGATCCATATAGAAGGGCCACTTACGTCGGAAGCTTTGAAGTTTCTGTCCCCTCGCATGTCGCATTACGCATGTTGGCCGCCATTTTCCTAGCCAGCATGCTGGCCGCCATTTTTCTGGCCAATAAACACGCTGTACTGACTGGCTGCTCCGCCTTCTGGCCAGTAAACTGCATATTTTTGCATAAAAAAACGAGGACATGTTGCACCGCTGAGTGGCCCTTCTGTTACTGATCTTTATTCTGTGTCTAAAGCCTGGTTTCCATATGGTCGTAATGTCGTAAAGATAGAGTCACGATCTTTCTCAACGGCCAGTTTATAATAGTTTTTCCTGTAAACCACATATAAATCATAAGTATTCTCTAGTTATGATCACTCCTCGTATTTTCAGTTCTAAACTGTCGTATTTCGGCTGATGAGAAAGATCGTGACTCAATCTTTATGGAACCAGGCTTAATAGTTAAGGGGCTGTTTATATGGAAGCCGGGCTAGCCCGCTTAGCGGGATGAATTTCTCTTGTGTTTATATCAGAAAATTTCATCCCACTTGACGAGACAATTTTGTTGTTTGGTTGTTAAAAATAGCTCGCGGCGGCGAGATCTCGCCTTTTTCAAGCGAGATCTGAGCAACCAGTCCGCTTGTCTATTTAAATACACGGTATTTTTTACCATAAAAATAACTACAGTGAAATCTCGCTTACTGGGCTGTCTCGCTAAGCTCTCTTCTATAAACAAACGTAGCCAAATTTGTCTGTTTTTAGCGTCTCCTGGGAGACGCTAGTCTCCTACGCATACCTACTTAGCGGGCTGAGCCCTCACGTAAGGTATGCTTACTTTGGCCAAGAATTCCTTTCCTCAAAATTAGCCAATCACAGCTTTACCCACGAAAATTGTGGGGCTTGACCTTTGGCTTTGACCTTGAGGCTTGGGTCGTTAAAAGTTTCAAAACATTTAATCTTGAACATTTTATATCTTCATTTGTACGAATTCATATCTTTAATAAACCGATTATATGCGAGAGTTGAGAGATATATTTGTTATACACATACCAATCTACAAATTTACAATATGGAACAATTGTAAAATCTGTTAGAATTTGTCGAGCTATTGTTTTGAACAGACAGTGTAGAAATATCGAACAATATCACCTAAAATATTTCGCGATGTTTTGATTACTTTACAAGCGTTTGCAGGTGTTACTGTAACACGGGTAATATACTGGACAAAGACATCAAGACAAAGTTATAAAGTTACAGTGTACATTACTGCGGGTGTAGATAAGGCCACTCCAAATTAGACTTTAGTTTCCCGTCCGGCCCTTATTTCAAATTACACGCGGGCGGGCGGCCATTTCATTATCCATTATTTTTTTTATTTATTTAAAAATTCGCCCTATTTACATAATTAAGATAGAATATACAGTATAACGTCTGTTGAATACTAGAGCTAGGAGCCTTTAAGAAACTTTAAGAAGCTTTTAGTGCAAGGCCCCTATTACAGCAAATATTAAATTCAAACGATAGCTATTTGTCAGTTAATATATAGTACATAAAATTTTAAAGAAAGTTGTGATATAGTTTTACAATAATATAGATATACAACAAATATGAAGTTAGGAGTGCATGATGATGGAAGCATTGTTTTTACCCTACATTGTTTTAGACGTCCATGAATAATATAATATAATGCTGCATTATTATTATTCTTGTGTTTGATAATAAATTTTAGCTTGTTTTTTGAACGATTGGTAAAATTGGATGGATTTTTTTATGAATTTTTTTTTTTGGATTATGGTGTCTGAAAGATGAAACACGGCCCATTATTTCATGAAATAGACACGCGTTTTAAATATCCATTCAGCCGCGTTTCTACGCAATATGTTTTAGAGTTTTTGTATGCAGCAATGAAAGCCAGGATATTAACCTTATCGGTTGTGACGTTCAAAAATCAAAACTTGTAATGGAAGTGTGTAGCTCAGCAGTTCGTAGTGAAAACGGAAAAAATTCACGCTCTTTGACAAAAGTTTCAAGAATTTTATTTCGATTTTTACGTGTTGTATCATAAATATGTATTTCTTGAACGATAGATTATTTGAAAACTGTGGTTTTTCGTAATTGTTTGTCACAAAAGTCAAATAATGGAAACAACTTCGCAATAATGGACAAATCATGCGGCAAGTTCTAGGAGACGCGGGCGGAGGACGGGAAACTAAAGTCTAATTTGGAGTGGCCTAATATATTATAAATACTAATTGAAGACCACAGAATTCAGCCAATATATAAAATACTGAATTGGTTCATTGCATATTTCAATTTCTAAGTTTGTATATGACTAGCCAGTTTATAAAGTTTAATAAAATCATAATTATAAAAGTCGCTCTGATATTGAACGTTCGGAAACTTAGTACTATTTGCAACATGAGCGGCCGTGCTGTATCGGATATACAAACTCGAGCCGAAAATGACTCATCTTACAGTATGAGTTCATTGGCGAAGTAATTTTAAAAATAAACGTTGTCTAAGCCGAGAAAATCAAAGTTAAAGTTTATGTAAATCAACATGAATCTGTATCACATATACACACTCCTTCACGCCCATGATTTCTTTTGTGTTTTCTTCATGAATTATTGATATGTATATTGTTAATAGTATATATTGAATATACATGCCGTCACGCAGTCGCGTCAAGTTCAAAACAAGTATTACCAGTGAATAGTTTTATTACTTTATATACATTTAAGCCTTCGCCCTATCGCGTACAACCCGCTAAAGTAGGTCTGCATAGGAGACTAGGGAGACGCTATTTGCTATCGGCTCGAATGTTGTCCAGATGCTGTCCAGATTCACTAATCTCGGACATGTTTGGCCAATGCCTATAAATGGTTGGATCAAGACATGCCGCATGTATAAACCACTGAAATGAATATAACTGGAACGCTACCTTCAGATAGACTCCATATCTTTTTCTTGAAGCCAAATCTGTCCCCTATACACGCGTGTCTGGGTCTTTAACAAGATTTATATTGACAAATAACTAAATTAGTTTTACGAAATAGTGCGTCGTTTTCGAAAACATCCAGTCTATATAAAGTAAACCAGATTGTTGGAAAATAGCTGTATTTGAAAGCTTAGAGTGGAGGAAGGAGAGCAGAATTGATATTTCAAGTACTGAACAAAGTAACCGGCGGTAAACCTCGTGGCACCCGCTGAGCTCCAGCGGCTCTAGGGGTTCTACGAAAAAAATTAAGCTGTATTAATACTGTTAGCTTGTTCGGTGAGGACAGAGATCAGAGATCAACACTAATTTGACTTATCAAGTCACCAGTTTGGATTTCGCTCCACTTAGACCCTTCGCCTCGCTCCACCACTTTTTGGAGTTTTCTCCTTTTACTTGTTGGATCTTTGATTCGTACAACCTCCCTCTACAAGTCTTCCTCTCTCTTTCACCAGATTCCGATAATATATAAATTAACTATAAGACGCCATGAGTGTTGAAGGCCTTTTGTCTTAACTTTCTGTGTCATAGGGCGTCAGCTGCGGCATATCAAGATCACTATGTCACGAAACATCTTCCACTTGTCCTCACAGCTCTCCGGCATGAGACAAAAAGCAAGGCCCACTCAATTGAGCTCAAATATCTTCCCAAAGCCGTCCTACAGCCTTTACAGAAATATGGTATCACGGAAGGGAAACGTATTAACAATAGTTAACATACGGCTCTCACAATTACAATATTTGCAAACAAAAGGTTACTACTATTTACATAATATGAAAGCAGAATTAACTAGTAATAAATACATTTACGATTTAGTAAATATTCACAATTGTTAATCTAAAACAGGTCTTCGAGATGGTTAGTAAAGTTAAGCTTATTAGGCACCTCGTAGGTACCTCGGATCCCCTATCAATTGGACAACTGCTTGTTGGGAAATCCACTCCTGTCTTTTATGTGGTTGTATTTCGCTTGCAGGGTGTGGTTTCGTCGACCAACCACCAGCTTGTTGGGAAATCCACTCCTGTCTTTTATGTGGTTGTATTTCCCTTGCAGGGTGTGGTTTCGTCGACCAACCACCAGCTTGTTGGGAAATCCACTCCTGTCTTTTATGTGGTTGTATTTCCCTTGCAGGGTGTGGTTTCGTCGACCAACCAACAGATTGTTGGGAAATCCACTCACCACCTGTCTTTTATGTGGTTATTTTCCCTTGCAGGGTGTGGTTTCGTCGACCAACTACCAACATACAGATTTTAAAAGAAAGACAAAAGGCTGTGGCATTCTTTCAATCTCCACAAAATGTGGAAACCACCGCGTCTATTCAAGACTGTTTGAAGCACATTAAGTGTATCTCAGTAAGTATGCATAATTATAGCGCACAACGGAGAGGCGTAGATTAAATAGAGAGAATGTCGTTGGGGATATTGCCATGGCAATACAGTGTCGACATTCTCTTGAACTTTTACACACTTTGAAGACTGCCTGTCTAACCATTTTTTCTAATATTGATCGGTTTTTAAACTGCTTCCTCTGTGACTTCCAAAACGTCCGTGGAACACATCTCAAAAAATCTTAGAGACAGATTTAACGTAAGTCTGTAGGACAACGTACTGAAGCCTTGGTAATGAAGATCATTTTTATTTAGCGAACATTAGTGAGGATGGCTTCTGCACAAGCATCAATTGGTGATTGGCAGTCATTATATAAGGTACAAACTACAAATACTGTATTATATGTGACAGTGAAGTAACTTCGCCAGGGTCTCATTTTTTTGGGAGGGGGACATATACTTAATTGCATAGTTTTGGGGGGTTAACAGCATAAGCGTTTGGGGCTGATGCTTTTTAGAGGGGGGGGGGGGGGGGGGCTCAGTTGAAATTTTGCCCGTATTTGTATGTAGGATTGTATATTCTCTGATAAAATTGCCCAAATTTTCGTAATTTTTCCTGCCATTTGCCCGAATTTCCATGGTTTCCTAGCGTTTGGGGGAGCAGTTGCCACCTATCTCCCTGTCTCGTAGGCCTATGTTAAACAGTGAACGTGTGGAGTACTGTATTAATCCATGACAGCCTTCCAAGTACTGTCCAGATGATGACATTGATGGTAAATATATATTACACCTTCATAACTTACTTTATATATTACGTTGAATGTTTTTAGACAGTTTACAATGCTATCTACATTGCCAACATCTGTAAAACAATACCTGATGTGGAAATTGCTCAGAAGGTAGACAATTACTGTATGGTTGCATTATCAATCAGAACGTTGGTGTGAGTGTACAATGTGTTCCAAGATTACAATACAATCATTTTCTTAAAATACAGTGTAGAGTATTCAACTACTTTCATTTAGATTGCACGTGATTTTTCTGAAGATCTTCACAGGGTTGCTTCGTTGATCAATAAAATAGTAAGAGAAGTTATCGTTATCTAAACACTCTACATGTTGAAGACCACCCATCATGACCATACATGCACTTGAACATGTGTGAACTACTGTAGTACACGGTGGATTCAATTATTATACATAAGCCGAGCGCTTCTTGATCCCCGCTTTTCTACCAACGTTTCAGAGTTAGACTCAGTGATTCCCTGCAAACAGAATACTGTACTTATTATACAAAGTGTATAAAATAAAATCCAATTTTGGCATTGTTATCGTACATGTAACTGATTTTAATTAACGGACGATAACATGCAACAGTTGGATTATATAATGTTTTTCTTTCATAGAGTTGTATCTAAAGTTATAATAATAAACCTTTCTCACATGTTGCTTTGTTTTCAAGGTTGACTTTGACGACTCAACATTGCAAAATAGGTTTGTCGTTAAACCTGGAGTGGATGAAAACCTTGATGAAAGTACGAGACAAGCTGTTCATCACTGTGGTGTATTCGTCTAAAATGGCTGTCGTTGACCTGACATCGTACCTTGTTTATTTCAGAGAAACGAACATACAATGGCTTACCAGATTTCATGACGAAAGTTGCCCAAGAGGAACTGAGCAAACTGGATGCATCAATAACAGAATGTAATATTCTGTACTTGCCCCAGGTATTTCACTCATCAACACCTGACAACCATGCACTGCTTGTGCATACTATTTCCATTTTTCAACTAATAAATGTATATTGCACTCGAAATATCCATTTACAAATCCCCACACTCACATAGTTGAAGGGTTTTGTAGATGGAAATTATCGAGTGGAATTTATACACATTTATTAGACCTAACCACCAGGAACAGCTGCGAAAAAAAATTATAGGTCTCTGGCATGAATTGAACCTGCAGTCTTGCAATTCTGGTGCAGCGCTCTAACCAACTGAGCTACAGAGAGACAGGTGTCGGGCTCTAACCAACTGAGCTACAGAGGCCAGTTGTCGAGCTCTAACCAACTGAGCTACAGAGAGACAGTTGTCGAGCTGTAACCAACTGAGCTACAGAGGCCAGTTGTCGAGTTGTAACCAACTGAGCTACAGAGAGACAGTTGTCCACCTCTAACCAACTGAGCTACAGAGAGACAGTTGTCGAGCTTTAACCAACTGCGCTACAGAGAGACAGTTGTCCACCTCTAACCAACTGAGCTACAGAGGCCTGTTGCCCAGCTCTAACCAACTGAGCTACAGAGAGACAGTTGTCCAGCTCTAACCAACTGAGCTACAGAGAGACAGTTGTCCAGCTCCAACCAACTTAGCTGCGGAGAGACAGTTGTCGAGCTCTAACCATGCAACTGAGTTACAGAGGCCAGTTGTCGAGCTCTAACCAACTGAGCTACAGAGAGACAGTTGTCGAGCTCTAACCAACTGAGCTACAGAAAGACAGTTGTCGAGCTATAACCAACTGAGCTACAGAGGCCTGTTGCCCAGCTCTAATTAACTGAGCTACAGAGAGACAGTTGCCCAGCTCTTGATCTAACCAACTGAGCTACAGAGAGACAGTTGTCGAGCTCTAACCAACTGAGCTACAGAGAGACAGCTGTCGAGCTCTAACCAACTGAGCTACAGAGGCCAGTTGTCGAGCTCTAACCACAAGTTCATGTATATATAGTATATATTAGTATAATTACTATCAATATTTCAGCTTGGTTATCTCCTGGCAATCCCTAGAACGGAGCAAATGAAAGAAGAGAAAGATTTCGAAATGGAAGGATTGGAGTTTGTTGTTAGTGCATGTCTATCAATATATTGCTCATGTCATAACTTCGCCACAGAATAGATACTAGACCAGAAGGGACACTCCTATATGTTTTGGCATGGGAAAAACGTCCGAAATTTTTTACGTGATATGACGCCATCCTGGAGTGCACACGGCACTTTGTACCTATGTTTGGCCTATGAAAAACTTCCGTGTGCACTCCAGGATGGCGTCATATGATGGCGTATTTTCACGTCAGCACTCGGAAGAAATATCGTCTTCGTGTCCTTTCTGGTCTAGTATGTATTCTGTGACTTCGCACTGGTTCACACGTGATCGTATTGCTCATGTCATAACTTCGTACTGGTTCACACTATCAAACTTTCCGTGATCACAGTTGGATTTTGCAAAGGTTATTAGGTAAATTCTAAGTTTTGAAGCATTTGAAAGAAACGTTTGAGGGAACTAACTCCAATAACAATAACTCCGTTCAATAACACTAAGGCAGCTCCCTCAAACATTTCTTACAAATCCTTCAAAACTTAGAATTTACCCATACAAAATTTCTACTGTGATCACAGAAACTTTGATAGTGTAAACCAGGCTTTACAGTATGCCCCCCCCCCTTGAGGGATGGGGGAGGTTAGGTGGAGGTTATATTGATTTATCTGACCACCGTAACCAAACAAAAACTAACATTAAATTCCATGATAAGTACATTTCAAGGGGGAGGGCTGAGCCTATTAGAGGGAGCTTCATAAAGTTCAAGGGAGGAAGGCTAATTAGAAAGGGGGCTTATTTCAACAAGGGGACTTGATTCACGGTTTCTATTTCGTGCTGTAATGGCAGCAAGCTCATATCAGAATGTACGTTTTAGTTTTTCTCAGACAACACAGCACACTACAAAAGTGCAAACACCAGAGGTATAAAAATAAATTTTATATTTTACACATTTAAATACTTTTTATTCCAAACCTCACTTCACATATAATTCTAGTTCACAATATAATTTTCTACGCCATTTGTAGAACTGGACCGGCTGTTGGGCGATACTTTATGTGAAATAACTGGTAAGTAATCTTCTAAACGTCAAAATGATGTAAAGTGTCAGTTTGGTAATAATTCTTTTATACGAGACTTATTCTGTTAAATACCAGTTTCAACATGATTAACGTTTTGATAGCAATATTAAAACTAAGGACTGAGTTTTCTCACTTTTATTGCGAATATCGTGCGGAATTTGGTTTGTCGGTTTGGATGTTTTGCGCTAATTGTGCTAATTTGCTCCCGTTTTCTCCGACTGCCTGATCTCTCTGATCTAAACAGAGTTCTTGCCACAACAATAATGTATCTGTGTGTTTCTTCAACGTTTCGTCAAGGGAAAATCAGGACTCTTTCGTTGTGTTTCTTCAACGTTTCGTCAAGGGAAAATCAGGACTCTTGAAAGAGTCCTGATTCTAGGGAAAATTAGGACTCTTTCATTACGTTATCAGCTCTTTGAACAACACGAAATACTCCGATGTGTTCCCAGTGACCAGTTGTTCAGTTCAAGGAAGCACTTTTCGTACGACAGCAACTCCTTGACGTTACAGGAATTTAATTGGCACGGGGAAGGTGTGGCCTCCCATGATTAACCATTCTGTCTACGCATGTCTATACTTAACCATTAAGCCACAATGCACCCTATAATGCGCCATACTGGTTATTCTACTGATGAAGTGGAACGTTTTGGCACTAGCTTTGGCATGTTTCTGGCACTAATGTTTAAATATTAATATTTTACATAGATCATGAAACTGCTATCATGCATAGATTGCAAAGTATTGTTTTGGAACATACTCAATTACTTCTGAAAGTAATGGAATATACAGCTGAACTTGACTGGTAAATATTCTGTATTTTATCGAGATAAAATTATTATGTATCCAGGCCCAACTTTTCAACACGTGATGTGGCCACTAATCACTATTCAAGTAGTAATCTTCAGAGTTCTGCAATACGTCTTACAGTAATTTTCCCAAGAGGGTACCACACACCTCTTTCTATATTTGCTCTTCTTTAGCACTCGAATTTCGTCACTGATTGCAGCGAGTGAACTGTGACCATGTTGACATTTTGAAGACACACGATATGACGTCATGCGTGGCGAGAACAAAAGTGATCACGAGCCACTGGGCGAGTGATTCAATGTTTTACCATGCATGTTATCACCTTCAAAAATAACCAAAATAAGCTCGCACCATGCATTTGTCCTGATTTCTGTTCTATACAAAACAAAGCACGCGTCATTGATTCGTGATGCTGCGTAACGAGCTGTAATTGAGATATTACGTCCGTGAAATGGCATCATCCGTGTAATAGATTATGGCATCGACCAACAAAAAGTCAGATTATATTATATAATACCTTATTGAATTCTGATCGTTTAATTGGCTGTTTATGGTCACGTGATATTGAATAGAAAATTCCATTTCCCAAGAGTGCAATGGAATGCGTTCCATTGCACTCTTGCGAGTGCAATTGTACTATACGTTTTGTTCCATTGCACTCTTTGTGTTTTCGATAAATCGCATCCGTCAAAATGCTTCTCGTACGGTGATCGCAGTTTATTTTAACCCGATATTCGAAACTCAGTAAATGGGATTTAATGCAAATACGACTCGTCAAAATGGCGGGAGCTTACAGTAAACCTTTTAATATTAGTCTATTTTGGTATTATATAAAACAAATAATGAATGTTTTTATTCGTGCAATGGTAAGAATATTTTCATTCGGTGAAAGATGAAATGTTCCATTCAACTCGGCTGTCGCCTCGTTGAATGGAACATTCCATCTTTCACCTCATGAAAATATTCTTGCCATTGCACTCATAAACATTCATTATTT